TTTCAAAACAATCAAGTATCTATATTGGAAAACATTTTCATGACTTATCTTGACAGCTTTTTGAAATAGCCACATTGATCGAACCGAGTAGATCCAGAGTCACCCGTGAAACAGAGCATGTGCAGCTTGTTAAGGTTTACTTTTTATCACGCGAGACATATTAGGAAGTCTGATGACGAATATTGTTTTTTAGTACCAATCGCCTACTGAACGTATTATTGTCGAATCTGCTCATACTTGTTGCAAAGATATCGTCGGTCTCTGTTTACAATGTTTCAATGGAAACTTTGTCGATGATAGTAAGTGTAAGACACAATTTCTCTCGTTAAAGAAAAGACATGTATCAATCAAAAGTAACAAAGTTTGCTCGCGAAGAAAAAGTCTTAGATTTGCCTCCGGCTTCTACAAATGAATAATGATAAGAATTTGTGTAATTAGACTTCCTTTGTCTCTTGTTTATGCCTTATCTTAAAAGCTGAGTTGCCATAGCAAATTGAAGATCGATCTCGATTATTAGTGAGAAATCACAATCAGCGTATTTATATATTCCACATTGTTATTTAGGAGCACCCTCGTTCTTTCTATCAGTTTTTTAAAAAACATCTTTTATCATCGAAAAAGAACATGAACATGCCGATGGCCATTCATGATGGAGTCAAAGAAGTAAGGTGTCGAAACATGTCATCGTCTATAGTTGGTTACTGGAAGAGCATAATTGGAGAGAAAAAACAACGAGTTCTTTGGAAATAGAGGATTTCAAATTGATAAGAGGTCTTAGGAACCGAGTTCCCATGTTCGAATACAAAATATTAACATATCTGTTATAGTTTGTGATGCAGATAGTGGTTCGGTTTCAATTTTTGCTCGCTGTAGATTTCAACAGTCACTCGTAAGGCTCGTTCATAAAAAAAGAAACTTTCTTCAGGCATGTTCTATTAAAATTAGGAAAAAACAATTTTTTTCTTAGAATATTCTGGTAAAACTCTCAAGTTTTTAACCTGGGCATCAGAATAAATATTCCTCAAGGTTTATCACCAAGCTATAATCTTTTTTTCCAAATGGTTTACACCTTGAATTCTTGACAAAGAACGTATCAGATATTTCACTACAAAATGTTGAGTAAAAAACTTAGATAAATCACATGCGAAGCTTTGGCATAACCAACTTTCGAAAGCTGTTTTAATGAACAATTTAGCATTTTTTCTAACTTCATACAAACATAATAACACAACATGGTCATTTATGCGTATGACTAAATAAGCTCTTTGCCATGATGTACAGTCACGTTCCTTTTACCGTAGTATTTTGATGCAAACACTATTTTATTCATATTGAGTCGAACACACGTAACAATATGCTTATGCGTTGTGATATACTCGAATGAAGAGCTCTATTGAAGTTTCTGAATTCTAATTTGATGCGAAATTCATTTCTGTTGAAATGGAGATAAAGCGCGATTATAGTGACTCATTTATTGGTTGACTTATGCAAATTTTTTCGAAGAACCGCAAAATTCCGGATTCAAAACCTATATTTTTGCATTTAACAAAAGATATATTTATCTTATGTAGCGGGTGTTCATAGAAAGAGTTTTACTGGCATGGTCAAAAGATAAAGCCTCACATACACTACAAGATTGCTATATGTTTTTGTTTTTCAATGCAAATTTGCAACGAATAGATTTAAACCTATTGGTTATCATCTGTGAAAGTTGGATTAATTGAGGCCTCTCTGTATGTCTTATCCAAATTTTCTGCTTAATGTTTTGTAGAAAAACTTATGGCATGTGCTTCGAGGATTGAACGTGAATTTTTATAAAATGATCAAGACTTGACGATGGACCTTAAGCTTGATATTGAGAATACTTGCAGAGACATTTATTTTAGTGCGCCCGCTAGAGCTATGAATCAGAACAGAATCATCCAATGATATTCTTGTAGATGCATCAACAGGAAGGAAGACTTTCAAACAAGATATCAACATTCTGATAGCATCTCATAAATTGACATTACCGTCGATAATGATGGATCAGCATAATAATATCAATGTCGTCTCATTTGAAGATGATTGTAACTGTATTTGGCGATTGTTATCAATAAAAGATAAACTAATTTATGTCATCCTACCAGCTTCAGTAGGCCGCTTCATTGTACCATTGATACACAAACACATTTGGATCGAAAAAATCTACATTTATCAGGAATCTGCATGTGCAGAATCACTTGATTGGACGAAAGGTTATTCAAAGGCTGTTAGTGAACCTTCGCTGGATTTGATAACCGAACAAATGAAGAAAGACGTCGAGTCAGTTATGCAATGCCCTTCTCGCTGGTCACGATCTAAAAATTTGTTGACCGAATTGTATTCACAGGCAGCTCAAATTAGTACTTCAATGTTGTTCGATAACTCAGTCGAAGACGACTTGGGCACATGGCGCATTGTTATATTATATTTCAATAGTTCTCGATCATTTGATCTCTCTCATCCAAAGATTAAAATTAACAAATTTGATGATATGGATACGTGTATTGATTCTATTCAAGGCAGTAATTCAACAGCTGTTTTCCTAATTATTTTGATGAACGGGCCGGAAGATATCCGGTCAGTAGTTGGACTCGAAGCTGTCCATGCTGTCTACATTATTACTGATCTAGAATCTAATGAGCAAATTCCAACGATATCGTCTTATTCAAAACTGAGTGGGATATTTTTTCTCAATGAAGACCTACTCGAGCAGCTTACAACCGATATTTGTTTCTATCGTCAAAGTCGAGTTCATACACCAGCTATGAGTGTCTTCAGACTCGAGCCTAATATTTTGAAGACACTTACCGAACCTCAAATTGATTTTCTCTTCTTTCAATTATTCAGTGACATACTACAACAATTACCGATCCGATCAACTAGTACCACAGATAGCGATATGAACAAAGCCAATGAACTACTTTATAATTTGGTCGAAGCAAATATGGTAATCAATAATCTTTTCCAACAATTCAACACATCTAAACTACAAGAATCGATACCAAAATTGAAGGAAATAAATCAATACATCATGTCTTTGGCAAAAATACTCGATCCATCTCCTGCTACAGTTTATCGAGTTCAACTAGTCTCACAAAATGATTTAGAGATGATAAAAAACAACTCGAATGCTTTACTTGCCATACATACATTCGTTTTGGCTTCGCGGTCGTTCAAATCTATAGTTGAAACTTGTCGCCGAGCGGTCGACAATCAACTCACTGTAGTTCTCTTCGAATTCAGATTATCCGATACACCAGTCTTAATGGATCCAAATTCAAACACGGTAGTTTCAAGTCTCGGCACTCTCTTTCGTTTAGTATCCATTGAGTCGACACCCGATGGTGTTTGGCGAGCTCAAGTTGAGCTCGCCAGTGCTTCTATAAAGCGTTTAAAAGATCAGCTTCGAATCGAAATGGGCTGTCAACTTACATGGTTAACCTTCGGCAACTATTTAACCGCTTTCAAACGATGTGATGCTGCTAAAAATTATTATGAATACCTTTTGGATGTACTTCCATCCGATCACTCAAGCCTCGCATCGATTCACAACAATATGGGCTTGATGTATTCAAAAATGGATGATAAACAACAAGCATTAAGTTTCTTTAAGAAAGTTTTAGAATTCGACATTCAGAACATGTCGATGGAAATACAAGACAAAAGTTCAACAGTTGCAAATATATCGCCTCCTCAATCACCTTCTATTGACAGAATTACAGTATTAAACAAAATAGCAGAAATGCACTATCATCTAGTAGAGTATGAATATTCACTTGATCATTATCGCCAAGCTCTTCAACTGGCAAAAGATGTGAAATCTCGCCAATTTTTTGAAGCTAAAATCGAAGAGTTGTTGTCCTTTAATAAAAACTCTCATACACGAGTGTGCTTTTTTTCGTAATCAAGATGATTTTTTTTTTCAAATTACTATATTATCTTCATTTTGTAGATTCTACTATCTAATTAGTCATTCGTACGTGAAATCATATTTAGACCTTTCACACAGAATCGAATTCTAGCAGAACGAATAATTTATGAAAATAGAAATGGTACGTACAGAGCTGTTAGCTTCGGCTCAAAATTTAATGAGCATATGGTATCACGACGAAAATGTCTCAGCTCAAGTACTACGTCAAATGGAGATATATCTCTATCAGAACTTTCCCTATATGCGTATATTTGACAATATCAAAGATTTAACTGGTTATCTTCAAGATGAACTCGTTATTAAACATATAGTTTTTATCCTAAGTAGCACGAATCAAGAGGAAGCCACAGCAATAGAAATGCTAGTGAACCGGAGAGACCAATTTCGATGTTTCTATAAATTACAACTAGAGAATCATACATCATCGACGCCTCCTAATCTCGCATCTATCCGTTCCATGATCGAAAAGCTGCTTGGCCCAATTATTAAGGATCTTCAGAAAACCGAAGAAGCCAACAAAAATTCTGAAGACAATATGGATGATAAAATAATTTTGGATGAACCACCAATAGCTTTCGACATTGTCAAGTCACTTTCGGCACAAAGCTCTTTTTGTGATTTGAATAAGCAGTCACTCAAATTTCTACTGTTTCAATCTTTAATTGAAATTCTTATAAAAATGCCATATAAAGAATATAACTTCAAGCATTTATGGGACCTTTGTTGTATGAACACAGCAATATACCCTCAAGATGCACAGAATATTAGAAAAATTGCAGAAGAATACAAATCAAACAAAGCAATTTATCATTATACCCAGAGTTCATGTCTCTTTCGACTCATCAATCGAGCTTGCAGACTCGAAGATGTCGAGAGTATATTTCGCTTTGGTTGCTACTTAGCCGATCTGTACAAGCAATTAGAACAACTCGCCAATGAACAAAAACTGAATGGAAATCAAACCAGCGAAACATTTTATCGCGGCAAAAGATTTTCAAGCGATATCGTACAACAATTCAAAGATCACGTTAGCCATTATATTTCCATGCATGGACTCTTTTCAACAACAAAAGAACGTGATGTTTCAGCAATATTCTCTGGCAGTGGAGCCGTTCGAGGTGATAACCATAGCGTTCAATTTGAGATAAATATTGATTCGACAACAACAAATTTAATCAGACCTTATGCAAATGTGAAATTAGTGAGTGCAAACCCAGATGACGAAGAGATTCTATTTTTTATGGGTTTCGTTTGGAAAATTGTATCGATGACAGAGACAACAACAAATCATTGGCGGATTGTACTTCAATCATGCGCAGATTATGACTCTCAATTGAATGAATATATTGAACGGTATACACGAAATTGTACATATTTGTCTATTGGCGACATTTTACGAGAACTCGGTGATTATCCAAATGCAAGTAATTTTTATGAACGCATGCTACGCGAGTCGAATAAAACTGATGAGACTCGTGCGCATGTCTATTTTAATATGGCTATATTAGAGGAAAACCAGGGTGCATACTTGAGAGCCTTAAGGTATTATCGAAAAGCAGAAAAATTAATCAAGTTAACAGAAACACACGATAACGAAGTATCATCATCATCACCAAAAGCTCTTTTTTCCCATAATATTTATCCATCTCGAATGCATGCCTTGAACAACATAGGTCACATTTACCTGAAAGATGGTGATTATAAATCTGCAGAAGAACATTTCGAGAGAGCTCTTCAAGAAGAACCAAGTTCTGAAGTCGAACGAGCTGTCGTGCTAAATAATTTCGGTTTATTGGAATTCAAACGTGGAAATTTAGAGAAAGCTCGTCAATATTTCAATGATGCAATTCAACTTGCTCAAAACGATGCCTGTTCAGCAGACTTTAGAGTCAATTATGATATGGTTATGAGACGAATCTCATAACAAAAATCAATCAACTATGAACATAAATTAAATTTAATACACTCGAACGGTGTCGATCAAATATCGTAACGAATATTAACTCTGAATAATTTACTGTCTAATCAATAGAATATACTTTCGCTCATCTGGCCATTTTTTTTAAATATAAAATGATAGGGATGACTAGAAATACCAACAAGGTTGTGGATAGAAAACTTTTCTTCTTCCACACCCACCCCCTCAATCAGAAGAAAAAAACCATTCATCAGTTCATTCTCTTGTTGCTTCAAATAGATCAAATGCTTTTCTCTTGAACGATATCACATTTGTCATTCTACATTTGTATACATTGCATTGTACTTGTTACTCCTTACTGATTTTTTCATGTGAATCATGAAAAAAATAACCTTTTGGGAACTAATAGAAGATTCATCTATTGACAAATCTGCACTTCTCTTAACAAAAACAATTCCGATTAAAATTAAATTGTATTCGCTGTCTTGTTTGTTTTTTCGAAGTCTGTTATCATCGTTGTCGATTTACAACTTATATGAAATAAATCTCAGACTATAGCAGTTGGATAGCAAAGAGGGTGTGGGTGTGGGTGTGTGGGTGTGGGTGTGTGGGTGTGGGTGTGGGTGTGGGTGTGTGGGTGTGGGTGTGGGTGTGTGGGTGTGGGTGTGTGGGTGTGGGTGTGAGTGTGGGTGTGTGGGTGTGGGTGTGGGTGTGGGTGTGGGTGTGGGTGTGTGGGTGTGGGTGTGGGTGTGGGTGTGGGTGTGGGTGAGTTACTGTTGTGAGAGATTGAAGGAAACAACAGCATCAAAAACCTCACAGCTACATACTTGCACCCACACAAACTCCCATTGCAACTGAAAATTTATAGTATCTTATAATAATAATTGTGATTCATTCGTTCACTATCAGTAAAATTACGAAGATTCTGGCTCTCAAATTTATTTTCTCAATTCATTGGCATACATGATGGCCTATAAGCAAGTTATCTCAGTATTTATTCGGTTTCTTTCCCATATATGGCCGGTTAGGTCTCATATTTGCTTAAAAAGTGATTATATGTTACCTCTATTATCAATACCACTTAGTATATGTAATGTAAATATAAAAGCTAACCGATGATGAATAGGAAAGCTTGTTAGCGCAGCTCCTGCGGAGCTGAAATGTGGAACTCACGTATACCTTTAGCTTTGTTACCTGACGCATCATATGTATACTGAAAGAGTTCTCGTCAACTATAGTTGTTTTCCTTGAGAATCGATGAAAAGAGCGGCAATTTATTATTTATTTGTATATTAAAAAAGAAAATATTGTTTTTTCATTTAAGCGCGCTGGATTTCATTTATAGTTATTGCTATATACTCGATAAAATTTTTTTTTTGTTTTCTAATTTGAAGTTATTTTTCTCCACCACCAGCTATTTGATGAATACGGTTGTTGCAACCTGTAATGGGGGGGGGGGGGGGGGG